GCTAAGTTCGGGTGTCACCGAACATTTTATACTCTCGCATGATAAAGTGATAATCGAGATTTCATTATCTGTCATTTACATATTTTTTTATTTTGCTGTAAAATTAATTAGATTAGATCAATTTGTACACTTTGAGTATTGAATTGTAGTTTCATTTATTTTAACTGTATTGATTTACCGATATTTTCGGTGAAAAATTAGGTTAGGTTAGGTTGTAACGTGGCTTTTACCACCTTACAATAATTTACTCCAACACTGTACATCACTTATCCTTACCATGCTTCACACATAGTGCTTTCCACCATAYTAAACTTCACCTCACTGCATTGGCCAAAGCTGGGCTATGCTTCTATATAAGCAAGCACTTCACACCGACTGCGATTATTTCTTCCACCTCGCCAGCCAGGACGATCACACAGCAGCAAGCAGCAATAGGCAGTGGGGATCCATAGAATACTGCACTGTACCGTACAGTTAACACCGWGTCTGGGAGTGACTACTCCTCACCAGAATATAGAAGGACCACCAYCTTACCGTAATTACCGTGCCGACTCCGACAAGATTCCACCTGACTCGCCATATAAATATAAGCTGGTCTGGCTGTCCACATAAGGGGTGTGGATACATCTATTACAAAAAGTTAATATTCTTTGCTAGGTTTCGTGGGTCCCAAGGCTGACCCTGGAGCGGCTGAGCATACCTCAGCTATGGACAAAACCCCATTACAAGGTTAGGTACTGAGTTCTTCATGTTCGATATCAGGGACCTTGAAAATTTATAGTCCGATCACGACAATTTTTCCACAAGGGATACCTCAGCTCAAATACCGTTTTTGTGTAAAGTTTTATTCCGCTATCATATATTAGACAGAGAAGGCATCAAATGGAATTCAAAATTGCGTTATATTGGAGGAAGGCGTGGTCGTGAACTGATTTCACCCATATTTCGAACATGTCATCAGGGTGTTACGAAAATATTATACTCGTATACCGAATTTCATTGAAATCGGTTGAGTACTTCCTGAGRTATGGTTATAAGTGGGCGACACCACGCCAATTTTCAATTTTTAAAATAAGCCTGGGTGCAGCTTCCTTCTGCCATTTCTTCCGTAAAATTTAGTGTTCCTGACGTTTTTTGTTAGTTGGTTAACGCACTTTTAGTGATTTTCAACATAACCTTTGTATGGGAGGTGGGCGTGGTTATTATCCGATTTCTTCCATTTTTGAACTGCACATGGAAATGCCTAAAAAAAACGATTCTATACAGTTTGGTTGACATAGCTATAGTAGTTTTCGAGATATGTACAAAAAAGTTAGTAGGGGGCGGGGCCACACCCACCTTTCCAAAAAAATTACGTCCAAATATGCCGATCCCTAATGCGGTCCTTTGTGCCAAACTTCATTTTAATATCTTTATTTATGGCT